GTGTGTGTGTGTGTGTGTGTGTGTGTGTGGGTGTGTGTGTGTGTGTGTGTGTGTGGGTGGGGGGGGCAGTGCTCGGATAATTGCAACACAGCCCCTACACACACATAAAGATTCTCTTCCACCACCAATCAAGAATCCAATCTTTTAAGACAATCGTCATAAGACAACTCATAAGATGGTCCGGCTTTTGACGTCTTTGGTTGGAAAGGAGCAAAAACCGGAGAAAACCAGCCCCATTGTGTTTCTGTGTGGACCCGGCCTCCGTCGACAGTCAATCACAAGGCACTTATAGAAAAACAACAATTAACGTTCACATTCACATTAATGGGCTACATAAGTCTTCAATGGCCCTGACATGGAAAATGAAGACTTTCAAAGCCTGATCTCTCTCTTTTCACATTTTGAGAGTGAAGTTGGCAAGCAGACTTTTGCTGAAGGACATGGGTGCTGCGGTATTTATTTATCTATCTATCTGTCTATCTATTTATTTTTTTATTTATTTCGTGAGTGTCCTCACTGCTTGGCCATCCCACCATTATAACGAACAATGAGGCCCTTTCCATTTCCATAAAAGTGTGAAGGAGCAGCAGCGTTCAAAAAGTTGATGGATGCCCCAGCCCTGTTAATACCAGCATCACCACTCAGGCTCCATTTCAATTATTCATGCATGACTCAGGGTCCGAGCTCTTGCCCCGCACAAAGGAGAAGGAAGTCCGGTCGACTCGCGCTTGCCGACCTTACCGCAGCGTTGACGGACTTATTTTGTTGAGCCTAAGTGCCCGGCGTCTGTCCTATTAGTCGAAAATAAACACAAGCCATTAGTCAAATAAATAAGCATCACTCGGCTGGGTAAAAACAATGCCATACTGTGCATAACGTAGCAAGGCACACAGGAAACGTCATCTATTTATAATGGAGAGCTGCTCCAAGAGACTATTATTGTTATTATTAGGCCCGAGGCTGACCAGACAAAGCGAGGCATGCTGGGTCGGCAAATGGACAAAAGCGGCAAAGAGCAGACGCAGAGAAACAGAAATGGATTTACTAAGCTGTCTTCCTAACACATTTGCGAGGCCCTCTGCCAAGGCCAATCATCGCTTATTTATTTATTTACTTATTTATTTGACTTGCTCTTGTCGATCAAACTTAGATGAAATGCATGTTAATTATACGGGGCCACAAGATTAGGTACTCCTCGACAAGCTCAGGAAAACTTTGCCGCGGAGGTCATCGAAGGACTACTTTTTTGCTTTTTTAAAAATAAAAGTACATATTTGAGTATTTGATGCAACATTGCAGTGGTATTTGATTTTAATTTTACCAGACAGTGCTGTTATCAAGGTCCCGTTTAAGGGAATCGTGTTAAATTGTAAATTGTAAAATGACAGCATGGATTACATATATAGAGTTATTAATAGAATGTACAAGATACAACGTTCAACTTAATCAATTATTTTATTTCATACCCAGGATGTCTCATTTCTGCTGCTGTAAAGTTGCTCGTATGAGGCAACCCCCCCCACCCCCCAAACATCTTGGGAATTGATGGGTTGAATTGTGCCATCACATGCGGATGTTTGTGCGTGCGTGCATGTGTGCGCGTGTGGTTAAAAAATCCAAGCCTTCCTTTTCCCAGGCATAATAGCAATTGGAAATTTCAGCTGTCAAGCACCGCCCGTCAATGTGGAGTGTGATGCGCAATGTCACCTGCTACAGGGGATGCACTCGCACACACACGCACACACCACATTAAGTGTCCCTTAATGTGGGCTGCGTCTCGGATGCTGCAGCCTGACATCGCTGCATTAAAGCGGGTCATTATATTTCCCTGCCACTGGGAAGTGACGTTTTTACAAAGTGACAAGTTTACAGTTTGATAAATCAGATTTTTTTTTCTCTGTAGGGTGAGGAGGTGTGTGGTGCCGGAAGGGAAAGTAGTGGGAAGACGAGCTTGGTTGTCTATGTAGTAGGAGGAGGAGGAAGGGAAAATGGGAGGTGGGGGTGTTGGGAGGGGGCTGCCTGTCAGCGACACTCCGGCCCCGCCGTCTAAATGATGCTCCCAGGCAGCGGTTTCAGATCCCATGCTCATTAGCATTTAATTTCTCTCTAATCCTACACACAGTTTCTGCCGCTGCATGGTAACAAGGGTCGCTGTGCCATTGCACAAGAAAGCCTCCGAGTGCAATCCTCCGTGCCCCCACTTTCCCCCCTTTCTTTAATGGCTCCGCTCACAATCCTTACCATCATTCTTCCTTGACAATTAAGATCCTCAAATCAAATAGTGCAGATATTGCTATTACAGCTAGGTTGAAGGTAGGGCGGTGGGGACTGTGTCTCCCAACACAACTGGCAAGGCACAAATATCCTCTTCCCTCGTTGACTTATACCTGCTAACATACGGCGAGCCAATAGAAAGTGTGGAGCGGCTGTGATCTTCAAATGCGCTCTGTGCCCTGTCATCCCACTCTCACAAGACTTGTTGCAATACCTTTTGTTTTCTCTCTCGAAATTCCCCTTCATCTCTTCGTTATTGATCCTCCCTGGTGTGTCCAGGATGAGCCTTTTTTTTTTCCACGGGTAGGATTGTTTTTCCACTCCGGCAGGCCGCCACTACCAACAGGGCAGAAGTTGTCCCCTGGTAGTCGGCGAGGACAGTTTCACGGAGCGTTCCCGCTAATGGTCGCGGTTAAAGATGGTCTTGGGTAAAATTTAGCGCTGCCAAGGGGGAGCGAGCATCTTTCCAAGTAGATTACATCGATAAAAGTTGTGTCCGCCTGGGGCTTGTCTGTGCTGTCATGAACGGGCCTTTGTGACATGTCTCTGAACTCTTGGTGGATTATTGTCAAGGAGAGTGATGTACACAGTAAGGCTTGAACAACTCAAGATTTTTTCTACTCCACTATAACCCAGGACTGGGAAAAAAGCCGACTAAATTGGATAAGTCAACCACAAAAACAGGTTGACACGACATTTTGGCCCCGAAGCTTTGCCGACATCTTGTTGGAGCATCCACACAGTAATTTCCTGTCTACATACAACTCGACAGACAATTGATTCTGAAAAAGATGTGACCCGACTACAATGTGATCCAAGATGAGTCAAAATTGATTAATTAATGTTATTAAATTTTTTTTTAGCACAGTACAGCAGTCCCCAAACTAACCGTATTTGTGCCAAGGAGCCATTTCAGCTGAAGACATATTTCCACAGACCAGTGTAGAAACAAAGAGAGCAAATTATTTTGAACATATTAAAACCGATTATTTTAAAAAATACATGTGTAAGTGTTAAAACCCAGTGTCGTAAAGCAACACAAGTGATAGGTAATAAGTTCTCAATATCACACAGTTGTCGCCCACACATGATTGGACTCACAGTTTTTGCGGACGAGGGCGGAGCTTCACCTTACCCTGCTGCCCTTGTTCCTCCAAATTATTGCCATACTCTCAGTCTGTACAATATGAAGATCCTGTCATTTTTTTCTTGTTTGTTTTTTTGTCATGGGCACAAAGGAGTGGTCAGAGTGCCACAACGTCTCACTGAGAATTTACTGGTTCTAAGAAAACTGCATCCATCTGAAAATGGCTGGAAAGTCACAGGTATCAAAAGCTTCCGATATATGTGAGGGTGGCCATAGCCATCCCTGACCACCACGTAGTTCTGGCCTTGCTTGAGCAAGTCGGAAGACCTCTGAAAATTTACTCATTCACTCATTGACTAAACGGTTTACGCCTTATTGTACTTTTGAGTCATTTACATTTTTTTCCCTCACCTACAGACACCAGCGGAGCAGGCTAAGGTTCGAATGCAGCTGGTCCTGCAGGCTGCAGGTAAGGTCCTGATTTGCTTTTCACTCCTTTCTGGCCCTGAATGTTTCAAAAACAGAACCAATATACCCTTGGATGATATGTTGTGTTGGGGAGAGGCCAAACCAGCTTAATGTATGCAGCGCTGGCAGGTACACAGTCTTCAACTTGTAGGTTTGTGGGGTGGTTAGCTGTGTGAGGTTCTGGGTTTGAAACTTCCCTGAGGCATTTCTGAGTTAGCGTGTTCTCTTTGTGCTTGCATGGTTTTTCTTCGGGTTCTCTAGTTTCCACCCATGTTCTCAAAATATGTTCGGTGTATTGAAAACTCTGAAGGTGTAAATGTGAGTGTGGATGGTTGTTAATATATGCCTCACCAAAGTCTCTCAAACTTACAAGTGGTTGAAACGACCGTATTTTCATGACCATACGGTGCATGGCATTCAGAAGCGCGGTGTCAGTTATGGGTGATTTTCTGTATTTAACACATACATAACATGCACTGCGTTATTGGATGCAGGTATGGTAAAACTTACGCTAGTTTAAACAATACGATTGCATGCATGCTACCGTATGTTTTTAAAATGGCAGCAGGAGCAAAACTGAGTTTGCTGGTACTTTATTGAAGTATGTAATGCTGTACTCACATTATTTTTGGATCACTCCTCATCCACAAATCCATCAAAGTCCTCATCTGTATCTGAAATGAACACCTGGGAAAGTTCTCCACCGGACGCAGTTTCGTTGCTGCGCGGCTCCTCAGAAATTGTGTCGACTTTTTCAGAAGCTCGAACAACATTGCAAGCAGGCGCGTTATTCCAAGCATCCACAATCCATTCACCAATTGTGGTGTAACTCGCCGGCACTGCCTTCCAGTCTTTGGGAAGCTGTGTTCGCCCTCTGTCATGCATCGCTCCCACGCCGCTCGCAACTACTCTTTGAACGCTCTGTTGACACCGATGTCCAGCGGTTGGAGTTCCTTCGTCAAGCCTCTTTCTCTTAAAAATCAGTCGGTGGCTGTTTCTGTCCATTGCCATGGCAACCAAGCACAACAGTAAAAGCGAGACTTCTCGTACAAACTTTGACCATCATCAATTCAACCACTGGGACTGTTCTGAAGAGTAGGTGTAGTAACTATTGCTTATTCATATTCACTTAATAATGGTGTAGCAGCCCACATGGTCCAGTGGTTAGCGCGTCGACCTCACAATGCTGAGGTACCAGGTTCAATTCCAGCTCCGGCCTCCCTTGTGGAGTTTGCATTGTCTCCTCGGGCCTGCGTGGGTTTTCTCCGGGTACTCCGGTTTCCTCCCACATGCATGGCAGGTTGATTGAACACTCTAAATTGTCTCTAGGTGTGAGTGTGAGCATGGATGGTTGTTCGTCTGTGTGTGCCCTGCGATTGGCTGGCAACTGGTTCATGGTGTCCCCCGCCTCCTGCCCGAAGACAGCTGGGATAGGCTCCAGCACCCCTCGGGACCCTTGTGAGGATAAGCGGATCGGAAAATGGATGGATGGATGGATGAATAATGGTCAAACAGATTGAATATACCACTATGATATGATTGAAGCATTTGCCTTGCTTTTGTTTGAACAAATTAACTCTTGGTCCTGATCAGTGCACACGCACACTCTTGCAGGCTACAGTTTTCTCGGGCCGATATTTACAACAGCTTAATTTCAAACACCTTGTAGGACATAATTCACAGATGTCACCGTTCGAGCCCAGTGTATATTTCGATGTGTACGCCAGGGTTGGATTTTTGCAAGCAGCATGTGACAGGCAGAGATTGACTGTGTAGAAATATGTCTTCATGTTTACAGTCAGGCACCCACACACAGCGTAGTCCTGCTCTAATTTCACCCCGGGAAATATATGAAAGAGGTAGGCGCCCATACATCATATACGAATCATACGTACATTCACACGCATATACTGAAGACCAGACTTCAAGCTTAACTGGAGGTTGCTGAGCAACAGTTGCCTCCATCCGCATCTTTTGGGTGCTTTTGACCATCTGACAAATACAGCATATTTTCACGTGACGCTACACGATCGTAATGTGTTCAGGTTTTCAGGGTCTAATGTGCAAGTATGGAAAGTAGACATTGAGCAGCCCAACTGAATTGAATTTATAGTATGTGGATCCTAAAAAGGACTCACATTTGCTTTTTTCTGAAGACCCAAAGTATCCTTCAGAATGACACTTAATCCGTAACTCTGTCATTCAGAGGGCTTGAAACATTAAGGCAACAAAGGCCTGAAAAGACCACCGCAGCAGCAAACTTTTTTTTGACCTTGTTAACCTTTTCAGTTCCTAAGATATGTGTTTTTGTAAAGTAGCATCTTATGAAATACCATGTATTCATTTTGCTACAGTTTGTTCAACAAAGTCATTGAAAGTGCAGTGGTGGCTGTGTCTCTCCTGTACCACAAGTGGTAGATTACAGTGAGTTGTTGGTTATGAAGGTAGGCTATATTCAATAAATGTGTTGGCGATCACAGACATGCAGTTTTGAGATAGTTGTTAGTTCTGCTTTGCAGGAGACAAATTGAACTTTCTCAAGTGTGAAACGATCCCCACCAATGGACATTGTCTGTCTTTGACATATACTTTTCTCCTGCCTCACCACCGTCGCGCTAATTTCTCCACGGAATGGTGCGTAAGTTTAAAATTTGAGGCAGAGATTTTGCGCTGACTTTCTCAGGCGGAGGCGGGTCCTCGAATTATTCGAGTTACTCGATTAATCGTTCCTGCCCTAGTTGAGCCACAATTTCAAAAGGTATGCTGCAAAAACAACACTGCACATTACCTCAATGAAAAGGCCCCAAAGTTGGGTGATCTGTGTGGTCCAAACTGAAACTGAGCCACCTTGCTGTGACAAAAGAGGCTTCAATAATGATCTGAGTCTGGGTGTATCAGACCTGCTGTAAAACCACATCTCGTCAATTAAAGCTTGTTCAGTAACTTTATTCAGTCCCCCCCCTCCCCCCACCTTACCTCCCTGTCTTTGTTGCAGTCCTGGGCAGACATGGAAACAGGGAGGGATGGAGAGTGAGCAGGAGGCAGCAGATGTTAGGAGGTTGTGTGAATGTTAATATCCTGACGTAGCCGTGGAGCTTAAGCCGCCTCCTCCTTCCCTCCATTCCTCTGTGAGCGCCCGCCAGGCTTTCTCTCCCGGGGTCTCCTGACATCCTTGAAGCCCGCGGCTCTCCTCTTCTCTCCTCTGACTGCCCCCCCCCCCCACACACACACACACACACACACACATACACACACCGTTCCCCTCCCGCCTTTTGTCCGTCTATGGACTCTCTCTAGTCAGTATAGAGCAGATCATCCCATGGCTAAAGCGGATAAGGCCTTTGTGTCGGGGGGCTTTGCGGACCTGTAATGAGCCCCCTCGGCTGGCCCGCTGGCCTGCTTAGGGCTCACTGGGGGCTTTAAGAGTGTGTGTGTGTGTGTGTGTGTGTGTGTGTGTGTGTGTGTGTGTGTGTGTGTGTGTGTGTGTGTGTGTGTGTGTGTGTGTGGATTATGAGGAGGAGGGCATCGCTGGCTCCCAATGAAAGAGCTGGTCGGATATGCTTATGGGTCATTTTCTGCGTGGCCTACATATCAAATACACATATGTGCATACCAACTCATCCACACGTGACACATTTCTTAATTAACTTACTTAGTTCAATAACTTACTTCGCGCAAGAGATTGTTCTTCATCTGTCTGTCTTGTCTGTCTGTCTGTCCCTCCATCTATTCATCCATTTTTAGTCAGCCATTTATTCATCTTCATTATTTTTATTAACCTTGCAGCTTGCTCAGAATAACTTAATTTGTTCTGAATACCACAAACAAAGCCATGTTTCTTGTCTAATGCTAATGTGCTCACCCTGCAAAGTGCAGTGAGACACCCTTGCAAACACACAAATGCACACGCACGCGGCAGCCTTGCTTGCACACGTTATTGTGCTGTTTTCTTTTCAGCCTCTCGCTCAATTCTCGCCTCTTTTGAGAGCGCTGTCCGTTTCCACTCAAATGAGCGCGAGCGCCGTACAAGGGGAGCAGCCGTAGAGGGCCTCTCCTTATCCACACGTCAATGGAGAGTGTTTGCAGAACACCCACTGTGGGCCCGAGGGCCAGGGGGTCATCAAAACCTGCGTCCTCTCCCCATTTGAACCTTTGACAGCAACAAAAACAAACAGTCCTTAAGCTCTCATCAGAGGCTTGAACTTGGCAGGGGCTCACTGGTCTGAATTAACTTTCGCGCTGGTTTGTCTACTCTTGACACCTGTCTGAAGTTGTTAAGGAGAAAGTGCAATTTGGACTACTTGTTTTTGTAGCCCTTAAATAACGGTAAGCTCTTTTGACGAAAATGACTTCATGGCGTTGAATTGCCTGCCAAATGTCATTATGGTGTGTTAAAGTGGAATGTTGGCATCAAGTGTTTTCCCATAACGTCACTACTGAACATAGGAGTTTACATAATCATTTAAAAGACAGTTCAATTAGCAGCAATTATACGCTCACAAGCCCCTTTTTTGGTACACCTTCACTTTTCAAAGTAAGAAGCAGCATGGGAAAATATGGCTCTCCTTGTGAAACAGTGCATTTTAGCACTATGCCAAATCTCAAACCATAATAGAAATATGGTTCAATAATTACTTCAATTATAACTTCTAACAGTGTCAATCAAAACAGACCTTTATTTTCTGTCATTATGTTCTTTGTTGATACGGGTTCTGCATTGGATATTACATTAGCTGCGGTTGTGCTAATGTTGTGGTCGATGTCCATGTATTACATATACATACTGTCAAAACTGGCCATGGTAATTTATTTCCAAATATGGTTTGGTAAATGTTAGGTTTTTTTGTTTTTGTTTTTGCATTTTATAGTATAGAAATTATTCGATCGGTTATCTATTTCATCTATAATTCTTTTTGATAATCGATTAATCATTTATAGATCTTGCTCAACTTAAAATCGTCCACATCTGAGGAATTTCAGCCTCTCAGCAGTAAATGATTT